GCACATTCAATGGTTTTTAATATATTCACAGAGTGGTGCAACCATCACCACAACCAATTATGCAACATTCCGTCACCTCAAATAGAAACCTTGTAACCCCTGGCTATCACCCTCAAGTCCCCCATCCCCACTGCAGCTCTAGGCACCACTACTCTACTTTCTGTCTCTATAGATTTGCCTATTCTGGACTTTCGTATAAATGGAATCATACAACATATGGTCATTTGTGACCACCTTCTTCATTTGCATAATGTTTTCAAGGTTTATCTGCATTGTAGCATGTATCAGCACGTCATTCCTTTTAACGGCTGAATATTACATAGTATGGATAGACCACATCCTGTTCACCAGTTCTTTGGCTGATGAACATTTGGGTTGTTTCCACCTTTGGCTATGGTGAATAATGGTACCAAGTTTTTGTGTGCACGTACGTTTTCAATTTTCTGCGGTATAATCTGAGTGGAATTACTGGGTCACTGTGTTTGGTTTGGGAACTGCCAGATTGTTTTCCAAAGGGGCTGCAACATTTTACATTCAGGGTGTCATTTCTTAACATTTCCTTAATTTCTTGCCAACACTTGTTTCTTTGACTGTACTCATCTTAGTGGGTATAAAGTGATACCTTATTGTGGTTTGGATTTGCATTTCAATTGATGTTGAGCATCTTTTCCCGTGCTCTTGGACATTTGTATATCTTCTTTGGGGGTAATGTCTATTCACATCTTCTGTCCATTTAAAAATTTGGTTGTTTGTCTTTTTATTATCCAATTGTTAGAGTTCTTTATATACTCTAGATACAAGTTCCTTGACAGGTATATGATTTGCAAATATTTTCCCCTTCATGTGGGTTGTCTTTTCACTCTATTGATAGTGTGCATTGAAGCACAAGTTTTTAACTTTGATGAAGTCCAATTCATCTATTTTTTTCTTTTTTCTTGCATGTGCTTTTGGTGTCATATCTAAGAATCCATTGAGAAATCCAAGGTCACAAAGATTTACCTCTGTGTTTTCTTCTAAAAGGATTACAGTTTTGGTCTTTAACCTATTTTGACATAGTTTTTGTACAAGGCAGGAGGTGGGTGTCCAACTTGACTCTTTTGCGAGTAGATATCCAGATGTCCCCGTACCAATTGTTGAAGAGACTATTCCCTTTCCATTGAAAGGACTTCACACCCCTGTTGAAAATCAGTTGACCATAGACACATGAGTTTATTTCTGGACTCTCCATTCTATCCCATTGATCTATATGTCTATCCTTATGCCAGTACCACAGTGTCTCAGTATTGCTTTGTAGTAAGTTTTGAAATCCTTAAGTGTGAGATTAAAGACCTACATGACAGATTCCCATTAGTGGCTTTTTATACAAACTTGCTACAATGGTATTGTACACTATAATTTATTGTAAAAATCTTGGTAACATATACATAAGCTTTATGTTTCGTTTTGTTCCTGTATTTAGTTTGTGAGAAATTTCCACCTTGTGATATTTATTGTTCTACATTACTATACAAATCCTATATTAAAATATACATTGATTATTTTAAATTGTGGACATTTTATTTTCCCCATCCACCCTCACCCCAGAGACAGGCATCTGTGTCCTGGACCCCAGACCACTACTCCCCAGCATCTGCTTCTCACCTCGGGGCTCAGTTTCCCCTGTTCTTGTTCATGACATCTGAACTTGTAGTCTAGGATGTCATTCTCGGCCGTTTCTGTGGGGGAGGTGTGGTGGGGACAGCGCTGGGCTGCACAGCAGTTAGGGTTGTTAGGGTCACCATAAAATGACCGGGGCTTTGGACGGGGCAGAGTCAGAGGCGCTAGGAGCAGCCAGGGTCCCCACCTCCCGCCGGGGCTCCCGCGCTCAGGCCAGATGACCTTGGGCGGGTTGTCCCTCACCTCAATTATGTCTCCGTAAAGCGTGCGACATCTGGTTCTCCAGAGCACCGAGTGCAGGGGCAGGAGGAGGACGGAGCTGTGGGGATGGACTGTAGCCACGGGCCGGAAGTAGGACGGAGCACGTGGGCGGCGCCGGTGTGACATCACAGACAACCACGGCCTGACCCGGAAGTGCACGCGCGGGAGGCTCCGCCGGGTCCCTCGGCCGCCCCGCCGCGGGGGCTGCGCTCGCCTGTCCAGGGTCGCCTGGGTCCCGGGCCCAGACGCAGGTCTCGGGGTTCCCGCCCCGCCTCGCCCGTCTCATATCTGGGCCCCGGACAGGGGGACACTCCCTCGCAGCCGTGTCCAGCGGGTCCAGGTGGCCGGGAGTGGAGGGCGGCCTCCGGAAGCCGACGTGCGGGGGGAGGGCGGACGCGGCGCGGCGCCTCCGGGCCATGCGAGGCGATGCCGCCAGCTCGGCGGGACGACCTTAGAGCCTCGGTAGCAAATGTAGTCTGAAGCCCGTGGAACCTCGGAAACACCCATCGAACCCTGACGTGGAGGAATAGGGAATACATGAGGGCCGTGCCCTGCAGAGGAAAACGAAGACAGAGCATAGGGCTGGGCTGGGCCTCAGAACAGGAGGGAGGAAAGACTGCTGGGCGGGCGCACAGAGGCTGCACGCTTGACCTCATGCCGTCCGAGAAACATAAGAACCTCAAAACAGGGCTTAGGAGAACCCCAGGTCCTGTTGGTGTGGAGAGTGAAGCTCTTTCCCTTGGAGAACCCCTGGATTGTCTCCTGAGGGATGTGGGGGCCTAAGTCCTGGGCCAGAATGTCCTGAAGTGTTTGGGGAGCCTATAATCATTACTATTTTATTCTTAGGAACACTTCCCTTCAGCGAGGGAAGATATCAGTGGGCTGAATTCCAGATTAAACATGTTCAGAAACATCTCCACCAAGATGCCAGAGCCCTTATAATACTGTCAACATGTGAATGGAAGCCCAAAGCAGAAAAATCTAACGGCAGAAAAAAACAGCAAAAGGCTCTTCAAAGGAAGTTATTCTATATAAGAATGGAGGAAAACAAATAAGACCATCAAAGAAGCTGTACAGTGAGAGAATTCAAGAACAGATTGGTTGTGAAGATTAAATGAAGTAATGATGTAAAGTTCAGCACGAGGGATACAGGAGGTCCTCAGTAAAAAAGTCATTGGTGGGGGCCGGCCTGTGGCTCACTCGGGACAGTGCGGTGCTGATAACACCAAGGCCACGGGTTCGGATCCCATATAGGGATGGCCGGTTCGCTCACTGGCTGAGCGTGGTGCTGACAACACCAAGTCAAGGGTTAAAATCCCCTTTCTGGTCATCTTTTATAAAAAAAAAAAAAAAGTCATTGGTGGGGGCCGGCCTGTGGCTCACTCGGGACAGTGCGGTGCTGATAACACCAAGGCCACGGGTTCGGATCCCATATAGGGATGGCCGGTTCGCTCACTGGCTGAGCGTGGTGCTGACAACACCAAGTCAAGGGTTGAGACCCCCTTACTGGTTTTTTTTTAAAAAAAAAAAAAAAAAAAAAAAAAAGTCATTGGTGAAATAACAAAGATCAGAGTTTCCATACCACTCAGAGTAGGTCTGTGAATCATTTTGCAGTGATGACTCCCCAATTTACACATCTGTCAAGTATCACAAGAAGTTGGCACAGTCTGGCTATGCTGAGCATGCAATTAGAGTGATTAGGTTGGACTCTATAGGGTCTAATCAGAGAAAGAACAAACATGTATTAGAGGAGAAATGAGAGATAGAAAACCAACAGTACAAGAAAGTACCTTTAACTCATGAAAAGGAGGCCCCCCGCACCATGGTTGTCTTGGGAGGTATGTGAGTCCACCATAAGTATGAACAGCAAACTTAGTTACTATTCATGCTTGGAGAGAACCTAGAATTAAATGATATACCTCACCCCTGCAGCCTTGGTCAGCTCCGTACCCCTAAAGTCCTAAATTGTGAAATGTCCGTGGATGCCTAGCAGTCACACTAAATATTAGGAAACCAAAAATTGTTCTCTTGGAACCCATTTCCATACACTACTTTCCTTAATCTTTACAACAACTCTTTGAGATTGGTTATATTTTACACATTTTAGAGTCGAGGAAACTGGCAAAGAAAAGTTGGGTGACCTGTTCAAAGTCACACAGCTAATAGGTAGCAATGACTAGACTCAAGCCCCTGTCTTCTTGACACCAATCACTTTGGCGAACTTTCTGGCAAGACTTTTCTTACCTATATTGCTGAAGACATTTTGAGTCCATAATT